TAAGAAGGTGTATTATTATCCGGCATAAGTTGATTTACATAATGATATACTCGTCCCTGAACTCTAAATGTGTAAATACCTTTGTATGCTTTAAACAGTTTCTTATCGTACTTTACACCAAATGAAGTGAAAGCAAAGTGATTGTTATATCCACGCGCAATTTTTTTAAATTCCATACATGCATGTTCTTTAGACGTAAATATAGCGTATAATTCATCCAGTGAATCAGGCATAAAAAGTTTCACTTTTCCATCAGAGCAACAAAAACCTTTAGTTTCTCTATACAATTTGCGTGCGCCACAATTCCTACAATAAGTGTACGTCGATAATACATATGTAGTAGCTGGTATACTAAACATATTAGAACTTTCAAGTAATTCAGAATCAACGACATTAATTGTCTCTTCATTCGAAGTAGAAGCCTCATAATGAGAATGTATTATATATTCATACCCATAATCAACACGAGAACTATTATTTTTAGATAACATTGGATCATTTATCCTCTTACGATGATCAATACTTATAGTTTGAATTCGATTCCTCCTATCCGCCTGCCTTTGATTTTGTTGTTGGCGAATGAAAGCATTATACGATTTATTTGTATTTTGGGATAAAGTTTCAAGAACAAAATAACCAGACTCGTCATTTGTAGTTTTTTGCAGAGAATCCATCGGAAGAATAAATTTACCGCTGATTTTGAATAATATGAAAAATTATTAATTCAATTAAAAACTAACAAATAATAAATGCATTTAGCACACTGTAAAATAAGTGTGGTAAATAAGAAAAAGTTCTGCGACAAAGCAAACATCCAACAACAACATAAACTTCATAGCCTTATCCAACAAAAAATAGACAACTCCAATTAGATTTTCACGTATATATAGAGATAAGAATATACCTTACATCTAGATAGAGTAAGATGAGCCAAGCTACATTTTTATCTATACACAGAAATAAAACCTACATACCTTAAATAAATCCAAAAGAAACCCAAAAATGAAAACACAAACAAAGTAAATAAAAAAATTTGCAAGAACTTATCCAAAGTTAATCGTCGCAATTTCTTCCCTACGGTTAAGATAATGACTACACGAACTTTTTTCCCAGGGAAAGAAACAAAAATTTAGAGAGTTTTTTCCGCAGATGAAAGTTGAATTTTGGAATTGAAGGAGAGAGAATGAGTGAATTCAAAGAGTGATAGACAGTAGATTATTTATATTTTCTTAACAATATAATATAATAAAAAATATCAAACCACTTTGACCAAACCAATTTCAAGCCAGTTGAATGTGAAAACGCATGTAATAAAAACGAACAATCTAGCTCTATACAAAAAAGAGCACTTCAAGTTATTTTTGAAATTTAAAAAGTGATAACTCTCTTATAATTGTAAAAAGCTACTCTATATATAAATAAAAAAATAAAAAAGTATTAACTTCAAATTTTTTAAGTACAAATATTTACATATATTTAGTTTTTGAAATTTTAAATATTAATAAAAAGAATACATTGTCTAGAATGTAACAAATTACTTATAAGTAAAAAAAAAATCACTTCAAGTTATACAAAATAAAAAATAATTGTAAAACGTACTTATATAGATAAAAAAATTAACTTCAACATTTTTAAGTAAATATTTAGATATATTTAATATTTTTAAAATTAAATATTAAAAAATTATTAATATGAATTATTTATTTATTTATTTATTTTTGGCAAAACGCCTTCGTGCACGGAGCGTTATCACTCCGTGCATGGAGATTTTTTTAAAATTTTATTCATAATAATATTTAATTGTAAAAATATTAAATATATCTAAATTTACTTAAAAGTGTTGAAGTTAATATATTTTTTTATAAATAGCTTTTACAATTATAGGTTTTTTTATTAATTTTAAATAATTGGAAATGAGTTTTTTACTTATAAGTAACTTTTTAAATTCTCTATTGTCTAATCTTTTTTATCAATATTTAAGGAAGGATAAGCAACTTTTAAGATAAGAAGGGATATAAATAAAAAAAATAACAAGTTACTTATAAGTAAAAAAATCACTTCAAGTTATCTAAAATAATAAATAATTGTAAAAGATACTTATATAGATAAAAAAAATTTAACTTCAACATTTTTAAGTAAATAGTTAGATATATTTAATATTTTTAAAATTAAATATTCAAAAAATATTAACATGAAACAATTTTTTTTTTTCAAAACGCCTCCGCACACGGAGTGTTATAACTTCGTGCACAGAGTGATCACTCCATGCAGAGAGTTTTCACTCCTATGCATCACTCCGTGCAGGGAGTTTTCACTCTCAAATAAGCCACCATTTTAAGGGGGTCTGTTAAGGGATATATTATCTCACGTCGGTTTATGTGAGATAACATATCCCTTAATAGGCCCCCTCAAAATAGTGAATTATTTGAGTAGACCAATTTTGAAATTTACAGGGTGGCTCTGATACCATATTAAGACTTGAAATCCATCTTAATAAGATCAACCTTATTAAATGGAGAAACCCAAGATCTTTATAAATTGGTATTTATTTCGGTATTAAACCGATGTGAGATAACAAATGAATGGGAGTAAAAACTCCCTGCACTGAGTGATCACTCCGCACATGGAGATTTTTTTTTATTCATAATAATATTTAATTATAAAAATATTAAATATATCTAAATTTACTTAAAAGTGTTGAAGTTGATATTTTTTTCTATGAATAACTTTTACAATTATAACTTTTTATTATTATTTTTAAATAATTTGAAATGATTTTACAATTATAGGTTTGTTTACATAATTTTTGTTTATTATATAATTTAATAGCTACATAATAAATTATTTATATTTTTCTCTCCAACTTCTTTTATTATACAATATAATAGTACTGCCTCTAATCAACTGAAAGCGAAGTAGTGTTATTCATAATAATATTTAATTGTAAAAATATTAAATATATCTAAATTTACTTAAAAGTGTTGAAGTTGATTTTTTTTCTATGAATAGCTTTTATAATTATAGTTTTTTTATTATTTTTAAATAATTGGAAATAATTTTACAATTATAGGTTTGTTATAATAACTTTCGTTTATTATAATTTAATAGCTACATAATAAATTATTTCTATTTTTCTCTCCAACTTCTTTTATTATATAATATAATAGTACTGCTTCTAATCAATTGAAAGCGAAGTAGTGTATAAAAATGGATAAATCATTAAAACGGCGTGTCAAAATCTTGAGATGGTGTGTGAAAATAGCACTACAGTGTGATTGAATAGAATAATTTATTGTTGTCAAACCAGTTTCGTGTGAAAACTTATGTGACAAAAATGAACAGTCAACCTCACATTCTCTCTTTTAAGATAAGGAAGGAAATTTTGTATTATTTCTATAGATATAAGCATGTATTTATACTAATATTGTTAATATTTATATTTAGAAAGCTTAAATTGTAGATTAATATTTATGTTTTATCTTGTTTGAAAAGCATTACTTTTATGTTTTTGGGTAACTCATGGTTCGAGGAATTGCAACTGTGATTTATAATTCAAATCATCCTTGGGTTTGCATTCACATTAGTGCAAACGACATGTGATGACTAATGAGCCATTTTAGTTCGTTATAGATTTTCAATTATATTTTCACATAATTCACATGATAAAAAAATTAAATAAGCACGAGGAAGATTAATTATAATTGCAACGTTCATGAGATTGTTTCTTAAAAGTTTAAATTCAAGAAAAAATAATGCAAAACAAAAAGGAGTTTTTCATTAGGGCCACACCATCGTGCAAGTCTTTGGGATTCGTTTAACTTAAATTCTCAATAACAATAAGAGTCCATTTGATTGCAAAGATAAAATTTGGGTGGAAAGAAAACGAATTTCAGTAAATTAAATTGCCTAGAAATTATTTTCCTGAGAATTATAAATTATTGTGTTTGACTAGTATAATTTTCCATGTGGAATATGTTGAAATAAAAGTGTTTTTGGTGTTCGTTTGATTTTATTTTACATGAAAATTGTCAATTAAAGAGATAAATTTTACTGTATTGGGAATGAAATTTGTTTCCATTTCCAACAACAACAAAAAAAGAGAAAAAATTCAAGAAAATCATCTATCTTTTGATGTTCGTTTGACTTTGATTTATATGAAAATTGCTAATTAAAAGAAAATATTTTTTTACAATAATTCTTAGAAATTTGTTTCCATTACCAACAAAAAAAAAAAAAACCTAGAATTCCAATTTTTACATACCCATAAGAATTGGAATTCCATGAAAACAAGGAAAAGTGGTGCGTGGGGTGGAAATATGGAATACCAATTCCATGGTAAATATATGCCATCAAACGAGGATAAAGCTAGAAAGTGGAAATTTCCATGGAATTCTAGGCCAATCAAACATGCCATAAAACATTTTTCATGAAAAATTGTATTTTCTTAATTTAGTCTTATTTTTATTTTAATAATTTTATATTTATTATAATTTTTTAATTTCATTATTTCTCTATATGAAACTTGAATCTAAGTCACTAACTAATAAGATTTTCAATCTTATAATTTGAGTTAGTTCTTGATCTTTGACCGATCTCTTATGTCAAATATTTTGTTTTGAATAGTAAATCGATTTTGTAGAATTTTAACCCTTGTTTGGATTTTATTAATTATTTGAATAATGTGTGATTATAAAATAAGAAATAAATTTATATTTACGCATAATATTATTTTATGAAAAAATATGATTGAAAATAAATTTTGTATAAATATATTTTTTGAAAAGTAGAGTTTAAAATCCCGTTTGGTACATATTAATGTAAAAATGAGAATAAAAATATAGTCATTATAGATCACTTATAAAAAATAAAAAGTTAAATATAATAATTTAATGTAATAAATAACGATCATATTTTTTATTCTAATGAACAAATAATGACGAACAAATGGGGCTAAAACAGGAGCTTAATGTTACTCTTAATTATGTGATTTATATTCAGAGACACCTGCACATTTTACTTCCTCTCTCCGCCCCCATCTCTCTCTCAATTTATCTGACATAATCAAAACACACAGAGCATGCTCTCTGTTTCTTCTTCTCCTCTGTTCCTGTTTCTGTTTATAGCTCCCGCCATTGTTTACTCTTATTAAAACCCTAATTTCGGTAAAGGTACTGTATAAATCAATTTTTTTCCCTATTTTTTCTCTGATTAAATGTGAAAGATGTATTTTTTGATTTGATCAGTCGATCTGTTTTGTGTAGGGATAATAATAGAATTTAAATTATCGGGTAAAGCTCTGTTTTTTTCCGAAGGTGAGAATTTATGTCCCACAATACCTCAAGGGGTGATAGGACCGAGTCTGGACAGAACAGGAAAACCGGCCGATCCAGTAGTTTCAATCAGCAGCGCCAGTTCTCTGGCGGTTTTAAGGGCGGTGGTGGTGGAGGCGGAGGCTCCTCCTCCGCCACTACCGCTAATCCCTCTATCTCCAACCGCAGGTACATATGTATGTGCATGCGTTTATTTTGTAAAAATTTGTCTTGCACAATATATATATATATATGAACACCCACACACTTGCATGGGTGTATGGATGGACGTACTTGCGAATGAATGCTTTGTTTTGTACATGGAAACTAGGGTTTGTGGTTCTGGATTATGTTTATTTTGGATGATAATTAAATTTTGGGCGTGCAGTACTAAGAAGTCTAATAGCATACAAGGGGGGCAATCTAGGGTGCGCGGTCCAAATGTGATCCAGGATTCGAGCCATTCATTCCCAGTGCCTGTTGTACAAAATGGTGCTCAACGACATCAGCCAACACCTGGTATGATGAGGGTGTTGTGATATTCAGATGAGACCAGTCTATTAATTTGTAGCATTAAAATCTGGAAATTGCATAAGGGGACTTAAATTTATGACGGGATTTTCTTGCTTAAATGTGTGTGCAATTTATTTGTTTGATATTTCAGCATTCTGAGGGCGTTGTTATGCCAGTTTTTTCTTTATTTCCATTTTTTGACGATTTTTTTCGTATTTAATTTTAGTGGCTGTTATTGTAGGAGTGTCTGATGCATTAGTTACAAGTAAGAGTGCAAATGTCACCCCAATCGACACCCCAGCACAGAGAATCACACAAGCTGTTCCAAGAGCTCCATCTACCAATGCTTCTACTGCCGCTCCATCTACCAGCACTTCTACTAGCTCTGATACCAGCAGCTCTGCAACACCTGGAAAGGGTATGGCAACCAACCTGTACTTGATATGTGTTCAAAGATATCTTTAAGCATTTTGGTTTTATTTGAATATTAGAGAATGCTAAGTCACTTTATGATATTTTAACATCTGTTCCTCTAGTCTTTACTTTCTGTAACTGTAGTTGAATATTTGCTGCTATTATTTTGGATCCCTTAGCTGCAGTAGATGCTTCCGGCTCATTTTCTCTACAGTTTGGGTCTATAAGCCCTGGATTTATGAGCGGAATGCAGGTACTGTAAATTGCATAAATTCGATATACTTTTTGTTTCTGTTTATCAGTTTGTGTCATCAGTTTCTTTACTTTCATTTTTCACAATACCACATTCATTTTCCCCCATGTTTGTAGATTCCTGCTCGAACAAGCTCAGCCCCACCTAATTTGGATGAGCAGAAAAAAGATCAGGTTAGTGGTGTTTCTCTTTTATCCAGGTGTTCAACCGATAATAGGGCCTTGTTTGACCTACATTCTTTCAAAAAATACATTTTTAAACAGTGATTTGACATCATTTCAATCACACATTCTTCAATAAAATAATATTATACGCAAATCTAAAACTTTTTCTTATTTTTTAACCACACATTTTCCATCAATACACTATTCAAATATGCATTTTTATGAAAATAATGCGGCTCAAACAAGGGCTAGATTGGAGTTGTGTTCCTCTGCTTATAAGAGGGAGATTAAAATACTAAAAAATAGTACTCTTTACTAGATACAAGGGAATGTAGCTGCTCTAAATCTCTGACCGGTTGTCTCATTGGTCTTTTTGTATGCCATTTTTAAGTGCAAAATTTATGTTTTTAGAGTTGCCCCTTCATTCACATGTTTATACATTCAAATACATGTGTATATATTACCTCCATAAAACTTGCATGAACGCTTTATAGCTATCTCATTTTTTGAGTTAAGAACTACCACAAAATTATTTTTCAACAACCAATACTTAGTTGATAGTGAGCCTGTTTCAAAGATAACTTTGTTGCTCAGATTGCATACTGTGATGATGGCCTTCCCTGATTATTATTTTCAACAGGCCAGTCATGACTCTTTAAAAGCTGCACCTGCTGTGCCAACTCCAACCATTCCCAAACAGCGACTGCTGAAAAAAGACACAAGGGTCCATGATCAACCAAACACCGGTGAAGCTCAGCCAGTATCCCAGTCCAAGAGGGATGTGCAAGTTTCAGCTGCGCCTTTTGCGACTCAAACTCAAAAACCGTCTGTACACCCTATGTCTGGGATGTCCATGCAAATGCAATTTAACCAGCCACAGGTTCCAGTTCAATTTGGTGTCCCTAAACTCCAAATTCAGTCACAAGCCACACCGACCACATCTTTGCCAATCCCAATACAAATGGGGATGTCTATTCCTTTACCCATGGGAAATCCACCAATGTTTGTTTCAGGTCTTCGACCACCACATATGATGCAGTCTCAAGGATTGATGCATCAGGGTCAAAACTTGAACTACTCATCGCAAATGGGTCATCAGATGCCCCCTCAGTTGGGTAGCATAGGAATTAATAGGGCCCCACAATGTCCTCCACAACAGGCTGCAAAGTTCACGGCTTCTCGTAAAACAGTAAAAATTACTCACCCTGTAACTCATGAAGAATTGAGACTCGATGGATCTGTAGGTCCAAGGTTTCACCCTAATGTGCCACCTCCTTCACAACCTATTCCATCATTTCCTCCTAATCAGCCAATGAGCTATTATGCTACTTCATATAATTCTGGTTCCCTCTATTTTCCACCTCCAAGTTCCCTTCCACCAAATAGTGCCCAGATTCTTCCCAGTTCTCAGTCACCGAGGTTTTTTAATCAGGTTAGTCAGCCCTTCCTGAAGATTGCAACTGCTCTTACATAATTCGGTTTATAAAACCTGTAGATGTTTGCTCGATATTGCACAGTCATCAAGTTTGGAGAGGGCGATAATGTTATCTAAGAATCTCTTTGCCTGGATAATTTCAATGCAGGTGACAGTAAAGCCAACCTCTGGCTCTCATGTGGATAAAGGCACATTGCCAACTAGTGAAAAGGGAGAATCTATGAAACCTTTAAGCCCCCGTGGAGAAGTTATGTGTTGTCAAAAGGATTTTGACCCTTCATCTTCAAGCTATTTGAAGCAGTCAAAGCCTAGTGTTGAACCATTATCTACATCAGTGTCCATGGCAAGTAAACAATCAGCTACTGTGAGAGGTTCTGTTACTATGGAGACTGAAGGGCCCAAAACTTTGTCTTCTGCTTCTCTGGCTCTTGTTGATGACATTGCATCTTCACCATCCAGTGGTGCTGGAGATGCTAGAAATAATACATTTGATGAACCTGACTCCATTATGGATGAACACAAAAAACCGAGCAACAGAGGACAGCGTGATCAGGTACTTTGGTGGTTGTTTTTTGCTCCAATGGTATTATGCATATTGCCAGCTTTACCATAAATTATTAGTTGCGCATCATTGTTGCAGGTTTGTGCACAATATCCATCTGCTTCAGGTTTGTCTTCTCAATTGCCCGAACCTGAAACTTTGGCCTGGCCAAGGAGGTAATTATGGTGTTCTAGTGAACCCTCGTGTACAGACAGCTATTCAGCATGTTGGGGGAATCCTTACTGGACCAATGCCGTCTTTGGGACCACAAGGAGTTATGCAAAGGAATAACTCTGATTCTGACAGATGGCAGCGTGGAACTGCCTTTCAGAAGGGTTTAATGCCTTCTCCTCAGACACCGTTACAGGCGATGCACAAAGCTGAGAAGAAATATGAAATAGGTAAAGTTTCAGATGAGGAAGAAATCAAGCAGAGGCAGTTGAAAGCCATCTTAAACAAGCTTAATTCTCAAAACTTTGGAAGATTGCTTCAGCAAGTGAAACAAGTCAACATTGACAATGTTGTAACTCTCTCTGGGGTGATCTCTCAAATATTTGATAAAGCTTTGATGGAACCCACCTTCTGCGAGATGTATGCTAACTTCTGCTTTCATCTAGCGGTGGAGTTGCCTGATTTGAGTGTAGAAAATGAAAGAATTACTTTTAAGAGATTACTTCTGAACAAATGCCAGGAGGAATTTGAGAGAGGGGAAAGGGAAGAAGAAGAGGCAAATAAAGCTGATGAGGAAGGTGAAGCTAAACAATCAGAACATGAAAGAGAGGAGAAGAGGCTCCGAGCACGGAGACGTATGTTAGGTAATATAAGACTAATTGGGGAACTGTATAAGAAGAGAATGCTGACAGAGAGAATAATGCATGAGTGCATAAAGAAGTTGTTGGGCCAGTATCAGAATCCTGACGAGGAAGATGTTGAAGCCTTGTGCAAATTAATGAGCACAATTGGTGAGATGATAGATCATCCCAAAGCCAAGGAGCACATGGATGCCTATTTTGACATTATGGCCCGGTTGTCAAACAACATGAAACTATCTTCTAGGGTAAGGTTTATGCTGAAAGACTCAATTGATCTGAGAAAGAATAACTGGCAACAGAGGAGGAAAGTTGAAGGGCCAAAGAAGATCGATGAAGTGCACAGAGATGCAGCTCAAGAACGGCAGGCACAAGCTAGTAGGTTGGCTCGTGCTTCCAGCATTGGGACTTCTGGTAGAAGGGGTCCACCTCTGGATTTTGCTCCTAGAGCTCCCAACCTGTCATCTTCTCCTAGTCCCCAGATGGTTGGTTTCCGTGCTGTACCCCTACAGCTTCGTGGCCATGGTTCTCAGGATGTTCGATTGGAGGAGAGACATCACTTTGAGAACAGAAGCATGTCCGTTTCTCTCCCTCAAAGGCCCCTCAGCAATGATTCCATAACCCTTGGTCCCCAAGGTGGTCTTGCAAGGGGAATGGCTTTCAGAGGGCAGCCATCAGCACGTGGTCTTCCATTGGTCGAGATTTCAAGTCCTGGAGATGCACGTAGGATAGCACCTAGCCTAAATGGATTTAGTTCCGTGCCAGAACGGACAGCTTATGGTCAAAGAGAAGATCTCATGACGAGATATATGCCGGAAAGGTTTTCTAGTCCATCTGTTCATGACCAATCAAATCTACAAGAGCGAAGTATTAACCATCGGAATAGAGATATTAGAAATGCTGATCACAACTTTGACAGATCTCTACCTACTTCTACACAAGATAGGCCCCTAGCTTTTATACAAGATGCTTCATCAGAAAATATGTTGCCAGAAGAGCGTTTGCAACACATGTCCATGTCTGCAATTAAAGAATTTTATAGGTATCACCTTATATCATGCCTCGTGTTTCCGATCTGTCTGTTAATTTTTAACTCCATCTGCTACATTACCTCTCAACTAGCATTTGACTATGTTTCTCAGGAATTGTTAATATGCATGTTAGGAAAAGTTATATGAAGCTCAACCACAGGGCTTTGCAATTCCAATTATTGAACGAAAGATATCTTGTACATATGTTTGTTAAATTTTATAGCTTAGCACAAATCAGTAGGTAGGAAATGGAGTTACTTGTTCCTGCCAAAATCTAAAACTATCAAGGCGTTGTGAGTTACTCCATACTCATCACGAAGTACTTCATCCAGTACCATAATTTACATAGTTATCAAAATCCCAAGTAATAACTTCTTCTGGATGTTGCCGATGAGGTCAACCATCGACGGAAAACAATACTAGTGTGTGTTTAAACGATATTATTTTGAAAGAATGTATTTTGGAATTATAGATTTATAGAGAATGTGTGGTTAAAAAATGAGGAAAAGTTTTTGATTTGCATATAATATTATTATATTGAAAAATGTGTGGTTGAAATGATGTTAAATCACTGTTTAAGAATGCATTTTTTTTTTGGAAAAAATGAGGCTTAAACAGAGCCCGAACTTACGTAAAAGTTTAGCTTTTTGTTACCTTTGTTCTTCTCACTTGTTTTTAGCTTTTTGTTACCTTTGTTCTTCTTTCACTTGTTTTTAGCTTTTTGCTACCTCTGTTCTTCTTGCACTCACTCGTGTTTAGCTTTTTGTTTTCTATGTTCTTATTGTACTTGTGTCTGTGTCTATGTCTTGTATCCAAAGTGTGTGCAAGGCCTTGCTGTTGGGCATACTGTAATCAAGGATGTAATGAATTATGGGTGTTGCTTTGGTCGAGATCTGGCGATTATGAATGATGAGTTTTAGGGTTCTGATGATGGGAATCCTGTGGTAGTGCTGGAACCATACCTTTGACACGGGGATAGATTACTTTTCCATCTTTTCTGGCTTTAGTCAAGCTACAATTTACTTATATTCCATCGTTTTCGTCCCTCTTGCTTGTATGAGTAAATGCTCAGTCCTGTGTCATGCAAAATTGGAAGCTTTGTTAACTTCTTTTTTGGGGCAAGTTAACTAGATCATGTGCAAATTTGTATTTAGCTGCCAGTTTATACGAATGTATTATTTCGTGGCAACCTTGGTGAGGATTGGTAGGTAGGGGCTGGTTGTAGCTCTTGGGATTTCGAGCTTGGTGAAATTAGCAGCATCAATTATTATACGAGACTAGTTGAGTACTTTTTTTTTTTCTTTTTTTTTTTCAAAAATAATCTAACATGGTCAGTAGTATTGGTAGAAAATATTCGTTTCAGAGCCTTTTTTTGCCACCAATTTCATTCTGTTTCTCATTACATTTGGACAACACTAGAACCTTATTTCTGAGTAGTTTTATGAAGATGAAAATCGTCGATCATTGTCTTTTTAGTGCAAGAGATGAGAATGAAGTTGCTTTGTGCATCAAGGAATTGAATGCTCCCAGCTTCTATCCATCTATGATTTCTCTCTGGGTTGCCGATTCTTTTGAGAGGAATGATGCAGAGAGAGATCTGTTGACAAAGCTCCTGATTGGTCTTATGAAAGCTAGAGATGAAATGATAAGTCAAGATCAGCTCATCAAAGGGTATGCCTTCTCTGATTGTTAAGAGGTGGAAAATTGTATATTGTTCTCTTTTTCACCATTTTTTGGTTCTCCTCACTTGGGTAGGTTTGAATCTGTTCTCACTGCATTGGAGGATGCTGTAAATGATGCCCCTAGAGCAGCAGAGTTTCTTGGCCGCATCTTTGCAAAAGTCATAATGGAGGACGTCATTTCATTTTCTGAAGTTGGGCGGTTGATCAATGAAGGTGGGGAAGAGCAAGGAAGTCTTGTCGAAATAGGTCTTGCAGCCGAAGTCCTTGGGAGCATCTTTGAGACAATTAAATCAGAAATGGGTGATTCCGTATTGACTCAGATCCGTTCAAGCTCTAATATGCAGCTAGAAAACTTCAGGCCTCCAGGTTATAAAAAATCTTGGAGACTAGATAAGTTTACTTAGCTTAGTGATGCTCATTGTATCTGGTAGAAGAAATTCATGTCTAGTTTTTTAGTATATATTTGCAGATATATGTATCGTTTTGGGTAGATGGGGATTCATATAAGGGGGTTATTTTGATATTTCAATATTATCATTCAGAAATTTAATTGCTACTGCTAAAGGTTCAATTGAGCATCATCTCATCTCTTTACATTTTTCTCATGACATTGAAAAATATTGTTTTCTTTTTTATTTTGGTTTGGGAGGCAGACTCTGCAGCTCGATAAATAAGTGTAATTTACATAGATATACGGTTGAGATCTGAATCCAAAAGGTTAATGTTAAATTTCTACTATTTCCCTGAGCCAGTTTGACTCTTAGAAAGTTGCTTCTACCTCCCCACAATCTCTCTTCCCGGATGAGGTGAGATGGATACTGGCTGGTTAAGACTGATCTATAATATTTTCCTCAATCCTTGGTTTGTCTATTATAGATTATTTGTATTAATTATTCTTTTAAAAATATTTTTTTAAGATCAATTATTAAATTCGATAAATACAGCCCATGTTTGCTTTAACTAAAACATTGATATCAATCCAAGATAAAATTGATAATTATTTTTATAAATATGTTTTATGGAATTCACAAATTTTATCAAATTTTTAATAAAATATTTAATTAATTTTTATCAAAATTTATTAAAAATCTGATTTTTAACAAAATCAGACGATCCTAGTCTAGTTGGACTTGGCCTTGTGCTATAATTTCTACTCAAAATCAAAACATTTCTCTGAGTAAAGCTATTTAGCTTCAACACCAGTGTAGGTCGTGTTGATATGATATTAAATGATAAATAGAATTGCATGACTCATTTAATTTCATTTTTCATTTAACCTACTATCTAACGTCACATAGATTGATGTTGCAATTCCAGTTGGGTTACATAACATTATTCTATTTCTATTGACAATTTTTGTTGATAGATTTTTAAACAGATAAACTCTCATTAAAAGTTTAAAAAAATAAATAAAACAAAACACCATCAATTAGATTTTCGACATTTTTCCTTCTATCGATTATCGTTGTGTACTTGACAAGGTTTCCTTGATTACTAGCATGAACAAACAGTAAACTTCTTAATCCTCTTACCAATTCACTCCGAGTAAGAAAAGATTCAATCAAAAAATAATTTATTATTATTATTATTTTTTATTCGAAAAAGGATAAGGAAATGAATAGTTCGCTTTAAATATTTCACATGATACAAAATAATTACTCGTGATAAAAAAAAATACCAAAATAAACTTTTGCGTCTCGTAAACACCCTCACATCTACCCCAATCAAATCAACACAATGTCTAGTTTAATAGATTTGCCACCCTTGACCGTCGACAACTCCTCTTTCACCTCATCCATCGTCATAGTTCATATCCCCTGTTTGGGTTCCATTAAAAATGAATTTTGAGAAAAAGGAAATTCAAATAATGATTTTTTTTAGAATGTGTGATTAAAAAATAAGAAAAATGTCTGATTTTAATTATAATATTATTTTATTGGAGAATGTGATTGAATATAAGAGTGAGCAAAATGCATTTTTTTAAAATTTATCATCACATCATGTATTTACTTCCCCGGAGGCTTCAGATAAAATTTATTGGGGTCCTGTTCGAAAATAATAATAATAATAATTAGTAGATTAAATGGAGCAAATGTTCCATTTACAATTCATTGCAATTAAATTTTTTAGGAAGAGTTCCTCCAATAACATAAATTGAACAATGAGTCCCATTTACAAAAAATTAGAACTCTCTAGAACGCCAAACCTCTATATATATTGACGAGAGTGCTATCGTCACAGCGACACCAATGCATGAAATTCATCTTTAGCATTTTTTTTAAGGGAAAATTGCAGTCGAGGTACCAAACCTTTCGTTTATTAGCAGACTTTGCCCAAACCTTTAGTTTGTGCCATCCATAGTCCCAAACCTTTCAAAAATATGCACCGGGGGTTCAAATGAATGGAAACCGTCAATTTGACCATTAATTGACCAATAAAATTGAATTTTGATCAACATTGATTGAATTAGAAAGGGTAAAATGGTATATTTAGAATTAACATTATTTTTCTATATTATTAACAATTAAATTAAACTAAAAAAAGAAAAAAAGAAAATAGTCAATCTTCATCTTCTTCCCTGATTGCACCCCTACCTCACCCCTACCATAATGTGAAGTCGTCGACTACCCAACCCTGGTTGGCCATCTCCGCCCAAATTCGTCGGCCCCCATCAATTCCACAACCTCCGCCACCTTGGCTACCCTATTATTCACTGCTAAATGGAACCAAAATAAGAAATCAAAATTGATGCGAGCACCAATTCGCCTCAAAATCGAAACCAGCACCACCTCCGAACTGGGGTACTCATAGAGAATGCAGATCCAAGAGCCCTGGACTATACTCATTTGGCGAAACCTGCTCCTCCCCGTTCCTTCTCTGACTTTCCGGCCGTGAATTTAGTGGTGGCGTCAATGGTTCAGCAAGCAAATCGCTTTTTCCACTGTAAGTCCTGTGCGCCTGCACGCTCCTAGACATTCTCGAGTCCTGACCCCCTCCATCATGGTATCCAAAATCCTAATTTTAAAAAATTCAAAAATAAAAAATCGAAATTTTTTTGATCTCAGCGTCAGATATTCAGATCTAGCATATATGTGATCAACAAGAAACGCAGAAAAATAGAACTGCACTTGAAGTGGAGGAACTGCATTGTTAGATGACTGCGGATGCTGAAGACCAGCTGATTGGAGCCATCAGTCGTTTGATGATGATTCTAGAAAATTATCGGAGTACTGCCACTGGTGGTGCACAGTCGATGATGCCCCAGATCTTTGCCTTCCAACAGCATTAATTTTCTCTCTCTAAAATTCACGATCACAGTTCGATCCTAACGTTTTCTATCTCTAAAATGAAAAGATTGAGATGGATGATTGAGAGAAGAGAGAAAGAGACAATGAGGGTTTGCAGAGGCAGATGAAAATGTAAAGACTTTGTTGGAGAGAAGCTTTGAAGTTCAACGGCTTCCCACATTTTCTTTCTTTCATTTTTTTTTATTTATGGGTTATCTATTTAACTTATTTAATTAATGGGATAATATACAAGTTACTATTTTGCCCTTACTAATATGGTCAAAATTGGAGTCAAAGTCAGTTCTTTGGTCAACTAACGGTGAAATGGATGGATTCCATCCATCTGGACTTCGGCTGCATATTTATGAAAGGTTTGGGACCTTCGCTGGTACAAAATGAAGGTTTGGCCAAAGTCTACTAATAAACGAAAAGTTTGGTACCGCTGCTGCAATTTTGCAATTTTTCCTTTTTTTTAATGACATAAATGCATATGAGGTACAATTCAGATGACCTAATGATATTTCAATTCTTAAATGTGAATGTGCATTTAGCCCCGTTTGGTCCCATTTTTTGAAATGAAAATGTGTGGAATAGTGTTTTTTTGAAAAATGAGTGGTTGAAAAATAAATAAAAGTTTTCGATTTACGTGTAATATTATTTTATAGAAGATTGTTCGATTGAAGATAGAAGAGAGATCGATAAAAGTGAAATGTAATTTAATGGGCCAAATGGGGACTTATTTTAAGTGTTTCCCATCTGAATCTCAGACCATAAATGACCAATGATAAAGAGGTGGTCTTTAGAGTGGATTGTTGGAGGAAGGGAAAATGATGTGAAGTTCGAGCTCTAACGAGACTTGCCTCGTTGGATGAAACTATGCTATGTTTTACCTCTACTTTTGCCAATGTAAATTGCCAACGTTGCCGTGTTCGAACAACTTTTTACTCAAACTAATAGCCATACATGTAGGCAACTATCTTCTGGATCAGTGGATTGTATCTTTCTTAAAGACGATATCAATTTTCGATTGAAGTTCAAAATTGAGGCAAATCAATGATGCATGCGTTTGAAGTCTGAGTATTAATATTTTATTTTATTTATTTATTATTATTATTATTATTTTTCAATTTGCTCAACATTTATATGATTTGAATTTTGTTTAATTGGTCATTCCTTAGCATTATACTAAATCTTCCAATTGTGTTAAATATCTTTTATTAGTTTTGACATTGAAATAATTATAAACATAAAGAATATTGGGTGATGGAAAGTGTGTTTTTAAAATGTGGGTGATGATTTCATTCTCCAGTTTCACGTGAAACAAATCAATTTTTTGCGTGCAAAATGAGACTATGGAAATCATTTTATTGATGAATGAATAGGGTGGAGTGAATTTGTATTCTTAAACGAGAAGAATTTCACTGAGAAAAGTGGATATGACCATTTGTAATAAACATAAAAAGGCTGGAAACTGGGATTATTTTCATTCTTCTTTTCTGCAGGATATGGTAGGTAACCCGAAGTACACTTTTATTTAATGTATGTTCCATTGCTCTACCTGTTTTGCGTGTCCGACAATGTTTCCATCTGCCCATGGAATAATCTCCATGCAGATTTCAGCTGGTGGAGTTTTGTGATAGGTCACCTATCCAAAGTAAGTACCACGGACTTAAGGAAGATCGAGGGAAGAAATGGAAGGACAAGAAAGAATATCCAACCACCGTTTGCTCATAACAGAATTAGTCAGTGGCTAGAATATAAGCAAAGAAAGGAAGAGAAGAGGGGGTCTGGAAAAATCAGGAAATCTGGGGAGAGCTTGGACATCTCGAAAGTCCAATTATCCATTTAATTCTTGTCATTTACATTTCCAGTGTAATTCCATTTGGGGTTAGAGTAGTAGTCTGCCTTTGAAGTTCATTACAGAAACATTCTATAGAGTTATCTTTGGTGATTTATTCTATTTTTCCATCTTCAATTGCCTTGGTTTGCATTGGCAGCAGGGTCTTATCATTTTGGTATCAGAGCGCTATCCGGGGCATGACGTTGATGGTTTGCATGGGAGTATTGGAGGAACGAATGGATTATTACCATAGGAGTATGGAAGGAAGAATGGAAACAGGAATGGGTTCTATGAGCATAGAGAAGAATATGGCACTCGTGATGAAACAATTCCAGTTTATTATGGATCGCTGGGAAGAAAGTCAAAGGGAATGCAAAAAAAGGGGCCAGAAGAAATTCCTCCATCGAAATTTAAGATGAATTCAACGGTGACACCAGCAGTAAAAGAGGGAATTGAGGAAGCACGAACCATGGTTC